TTTTTTTTTTTTTTGTTTTCTTTTTGTCGAGAATGAGCCATTACAATTGAAACCCCAGTATATATATATTTTAAAGGTGTACACAATTACCTGTTAGTTAATGAGAGTTCCATTAATGGAAACGGTAAATAGATTTCATTATCGTGCAATTTACATTCGAGAATTAATTTATTCGGTTGTCCTTCTCAGTTGCCAAATGGATTTTCGTTATGAACAAGAAGCGTGGCTGTTGATAGGTGAACGCAATTTTTGTTTTGTACAACATTCGCGTAATTGCGTCTGTCGACCTATATATATATATATATATATATATATATATATATATATAAGGGAAATTAATTGTATCAAATTAAAAATAACAACGCGAACGTTGTACTTAGTTCAAATATTACATTTCGTAAGCACGAAACTCAAAAGTTAAATTAGGATTACACACGTGTGTATATATATACATATATATATGCTCTTACATCGTCGAATGTCGTGGCTCGATTTATTCATGAGAATTAACCATCGTTGTACCATCTTGGAATACAAAGTAGATAAGAAACTTGGTAAAGTTTGTCCGCATGCGATACAACCATGCTCCTACATAGAAAGCAAACACCAGCTATAAGTTCATAACGGTGGTAGTGACTTTTAGATGGAATCGTACGCGAGAGGACAAACGAATGACATCTTTCTTCTTAGAAGAAAAACAGAAAATTATAACGACATTATTTGAAATGATATAAAGATGAATTCTTGTAAGCATTGCCAAGGATATCAATGTTTTGTTTTTCGTACAAGGAGCTATATATATATATAAATATATATATATATAAATATATATATATATAAATATATATATATATAAATATATATATTTATTTTTAAAAAAGTTAAATAATTATTACAATTAAAATACACAAAAAAAAATTCTCTTTAACGAGAATTTATTATATTAGATTGGAAAAAAAGTTCTTGCCGTTTTTAATTATTAAATTATTATTATTTTAATTATTAAATAATTATTAAATTCAAATGCACATATCTCAATAAAGAGCATTGCAATCAATGCACTTTTGCACAATGAGAAACAAATTTTGTTATTCTGGTTGAATAAAATTCTGGTGTCCTGGAACTGGAATAGGAAAATTGTTCGAATTTGCTTCTTGTTGAATTATGTTTTCAATACTTTGAGAAATTAGAAAAATATATAATTTAAGAATAAAATTAATATCATGTTTTTACAGAGCACTTTAAAATTATATACAAAGTCAATGCAATTTAACATCAACTTGATTGAAAATAGAGTGTTTAAAATCAAAATAACAAAAACTATAACAAGAACTTTCTTTCCAATCTAATATTTTAAGATGAATGATCTGTAAAATTTTCTTTCTTTTTATATTTGAGTTTTATGTCGCTCCTATAGGTTATTAACGACATCAATTCTATTCTTTATGAAATCAATCTTACATTTTCTTTTCTTTTAAAGTTTTTTGAATATGATCTCTAATTTCTGTTTGCTTTTCTTCTTAATCTGTACTACGTAAAATTTATTTTACAACGATCTCACGTATTCTCCCTTAACCATCTCCCCGCGTGGAAAGAGAGAGAGAGAGAGAGAGAGAGAGACAAAAGCATCCCTCGTGTCGTTTCTCGAACACGCGTTCACACGCACGAGATGCGTACTTTATACACACAACGCCACCACGCGATCGAACGTCGTATCAGATTTCCCTCGGGGAGAGTTCGAAAACGGACAAATAGTTTAGTCTCGCGTTGGAAACTGGACAACTGAAGTCCCGGTGACTTCAGTCGAATTCCGGTGGTATTTTTTCATCCATTCCCTCCCCCTTTTATTCGAGGTGTCAGAGTATAAATGGAATAGGCTGGTATCGAGAGGGAATACCTGGAGGTAACGCACGAAATGGTCGACGATTCGAAAGCTTTCAAGCCAGTCGGGGGTTAACCGCGACTCCCACTCCTCTCCTCTCTTTCTGCGCTTCGCCCCCCCTCTCCCCTCCTCTCGTCAAGGCTCTTCAAACGCCCTTCAACTCCCACCTATACACGCGCATTCTCGCCTCTTTCCTCTATGGTGGCGCGTGGTGGTCCCTCTATCTCTCGAAACCCTTCGCCTGGCCGCAGGATAATGGCGATCGTCATTTAGCCACTTCCGGTGGTTCGATAGCGGTGCACGATTTACATGAGAATCTTCTCTCTGGAATTTCCACCAGACTGCGCGAGAGGTATGAAGAGAGGGAGAGGGAAACGGTTTCCCTTTGGTTGGATTCTGATCGTTCTTCTTCTTCTTCTTCTTCTTTTTCTTCGGTTTTGTTTATTCGTTTTAGTCGAGAACTGTCCACGGCAATATGTTCGCGATTTTTCAATCTGATTCGCGAATAAGAGTGATTATTAATAGAGTGATACAAGAGTGATATCATATATTAGATAATTACGATGAAGAATCGAAAAGATCGAAGTTTTAATTTTAAATTTTGCTTTGTGAATAATTGAAAATTATATCTATACTTTTAAGAACGATAGAAAGGGACCCTTTAAATGTTCGTAATCAATTTTTAATTTAAATACTAAATTATTGAAAAATATTAATTTGCTTTTTTATTTTCTTTCAAGATTTTTTTATATTGTTACTTATACTCCCGTTTATGAGAAATTTCTATTGTAAAAAGATTGATGTAATAAATATGATAAAATTTTTTTCTGTCGTTAAAAACCTTGCTCTCAATCGTCGATAATATCACTCGCCCGGAGTTACGAGTACGTCGATAGTCGCAAGATGGCGACGATTGTGTTCCGACATTATACGTTGGCGCATGCGCAATGCGCACAAGTAATCCATCAGTAATGGAAAGCGTTGTGCGGCGTAGAACAGAGTTATCGTAGCGATGCGTGGTGAAATAGTGCATCTGTTGCTTCGAAAACGTGAATAATCGTGGATTGTGGTATGATGTAGTTAATAATATCGAAATTTTGTTGAAATTATGCGGAATTTTTATCCGCGATCATGGTTGATCACTCGTACCGAATGAACGGAGAGGTTAATACACCGCTTTCTTCCGGCTTCGCCGAGAAGGTACATCACGACTGGGTAAAATCAGAAAATCCCGAGACGATTATGACGTGCAAACAAACGGACGACGTGTTGATTTTCCCTAATAAAAATCTTTGTTGCCGTTCGACCAGTAACAATGTGATTTTCAGTTGGGACTTCCAAATTTTGGCGAACGGTAAGTGTCGTTTTTTCATCGTGTTTACATTTGTATTTGACAAAAATAAACAATTAATATTTGTAAACAATATTAAAGTATTTATCAAAAAAAAAAAAAAAAAATGAAATATCAGAATAAATTATTATTATTAAAGTGATATTGATATACATTGATCAACATGAAATATATATGGTTGAAATTTCTATCTGATATCTGATAGGTGTCAAAGAATTTATTGTATTTATATGTAGGTAAGCAGTTGCAAAGAGTAGTATTAACATTGGATCAGAATCGCAGAAATTTTGCAATCAGATCTGTTCTGCATAATAACGTTAGTATTGGGATCACGAATGGCCAAGAATGGTATAATTCAGAATTAAACGAGTCGAATACAAGTGGAAAGTCAACGAAGAAAATGCATTATTTTGTTAAAATTTGCTTTGTTGCTAATAGATATGGCACGTATCGCCAAAATGTTATCTTTTACTTTGGAGATTATCCTGTGATACTCCAAAGGATTTGTATGGATTGTTTGCCAACCGAAGATTTTACAAGGATTCACGAAGCAACAAATTATCAATTCTCTCAGAATCCAAAAACATGGAATAACGAAACGTCACAAATTTGCTGGTTTGAGTCACCTTTTGTGTCCGCAAAAGATCCAAAGGAGGACAAACTGTCGGTGATCTATCCTTATCCCGATAGAAGCAATTTCATCCTGACTCAAGAGTCTCTTACCGACAATTGTTTGACACCAGAGAATTACAGAGGCCGTCTTCATGAGTTGATCACCGTTGAAGAGCTAGCTAGACACGAACAGATAGCTAGATATAACGAAACTTCATACATGCGTCTTCTTAGTCATTATGTTTTGACATCTGCAGGCGATGGATCCACCATTGCCAAATATGCACCACCTGGTGAGCTCTTTGCTCAGGTGCGGTTCCTTTTAGCAATTATAGCTTTCTTTCTCTTCCTACTACTACATTCTTCTACTACTTTGAACAGTAATAATAAAATTAATACTAGTCTTACAAATATATATATATATATATATATACACATACATGCATACATACATACATACATACATACATACATACATACATACATACATACATACATACATACATAAATACATATATATATATATATATATATGTATATGTATATAATAAATATATACTCTAATTTAGTATAGTATTGTCTCGCGTTTTGATTCTTAAAAAAAATTGTATGATGAATTTTTATCACAGCTGCCGCTAAGCCGCAGTATCTCAGAAGATACGAAAAGCGGCAGACTGTTCCTGAGAGGTTGCAATAAAGTACTTTTCAAGAATTTGTCACGAGCCACGAACATGATATTCGAGGCGCACATAGAGGACAAGTGTACACAGACCGTGTACGTTAGATTGTCGAAAGAGTGCGTGCACACGTTAAATTTGGTGGCCAATACAGATCTCCAGGTGCAAGTGCAATTTTTATTGAATCGGCTACCTTTCTGCGAGTGGCACAAGACCGTGGATAGTTTGCCCGATATAGGATTAGTATTTCTGAACAAGGCCCACGTGGATATGAAAGAGATCAACTTTTTGGATCTGTTGGGAAGGGACGCGGTCAATTTCAGATTTTCATTGCTCAACGTTGAGCAGAAGAAAGCTTTGGCCGCGATCACCGCCCCCGACAAAATTTCAATGCCACCTGTCCTACTGTTGGGCCCGTTTGGAACGGGGAAAACGTTCACCATTGCCCAAGCGCTCCGTTACTTGCTCACCAAGAGCTCCGAGTACAAGATACTGCTCTGCACGCACAGCAACAGCGCTGCCGACCTATACGTGAAAGAGTTTTTCGACGTTTGGTATAAATTCGAGAAAATACCCCGATTGAAGCCAGTCAGAATTTACTACAAAGGTAGAGCCAAGAACACGGTACGTCTGTCCGGAAGGAAAAGAAAAAAATTTCGCTATCTAACCGATCGGAGAGATAGTTCCCCTCTGCTCTCATTCCACCATTTCAGGTGCATCCAGTGGTTCAGGAGTACAGTCTAATGAAAAAGAACGGCACCTTCCGAAACCCGACCGACGAAGATCTGAGAGATTGCGGCCTGATCGTGACCACACTGGCCACGTCCAGCTGCCTCACCAGCCTGAATCTCTCGTTCACTCACATAGTGATCGACGAGGCTGCCCAGGCGTTGGAGTGCGAGGTCCTCATACCGTTGTCCCTCGTCACCCCTCAGACTCGCCTTGTTCTCGCCGGTGATCAGATGCAACTGGCCCCCGAAATATACAGCGATCTTGCAAGCGAGCGTGGCCTTGGCATAAGCCTGTTGGAGAGGATCTACGGGATGTATCCCCAAACCCATCCATGCAGAATTCATCTGCACCAGAATTACAGGGCACACGAGGACATCATTAGATTCACCTCGGAAATGTTTTACGAGGGGGTGGTGAAACCGGCCAACGACATGTTGATACAACACCCCGTCTTAAAACCTTTGACATTTTACGCCGTTCAAGGTGTGGAAGTACAGGTACGTCCCAATCACGAAGAATAATTATTTGCGAATAATCAAAGTTAGTTTTCAACCTTATTATCACGAATATACATACACTTGATACATTCGCCTCTTCCAACGATACCAATAAATTTTGCCTCCTCTTCAGCATCCTCAACAACACCTCCTCAGTGAACACGTCTTTCCTTTTTTTTTTTTATTAAACTTTCAACTTTGTTTCTTTTTTCTCTCTCTCCCTCTCTCTCTACCAGGACATCCACTCGACAGGCTACGCGAACATGAGCGAGGTGTACGAGCTGGTGAACCGCGTCCAGGAGCTGAGGAACAACTGGCCGGTGGACCGTTGGGGCTCGTACGACGAGAAGTCGATCGGTGTCCTCGTCTATTACGCGGAACAGGTTCAAAGGATCCGAGCCGAATTACGGGAACGCGGGATGACGGACGTGTCCGTGGAGAGGGTGTTGAACGTGCAGGGGAAGCAGTTCACAGCCGTGTTCATAAGCACGGTGCGCACGAAACATTGCTGCCGATACTCGGCCGAGAGGAACGTGAAGGACTACGGGTTCCTGACCAATCCCAGACTCCTGAACACGGCCATGACGCGTGCCAAGTGTCTGGTTGCCGTGGTCGGTGACCCCGTCGCCCTCTTCACCATCGGCTCGTGCAGGAAGCTGTGGCAAAGGTATCTGGAGCTTGCCGATCTGCACGGCATCGATCGGGACACGTTGAAGCACCATCTCAGCCTGGTGCCCGAGCTCCCTCTCATCGCCCCGTTGAATCCATTGGCAAGAGAATTCGTACCGAGAAGCAACTTCTGCATGGTTGTGGAATACGTGCCGGTCCCAATGATGTACCCGGTGTTCCATTGTCCGTATTTCTCGTAGTGCCGGCGGAAATCCGCATTGGAATCGAACGATATGATCGATCGAGCATTATCGTCGTTCTTAACCCGACTTCTCTGACCCGACCTTAAGTGTCTTATTTTCTCTCCTCTTCATCATCATCATCTTCTTCTCCTTCCCCTTCCTCTTCCCCCTCTTCTTCCACTTCTTCTTTTTTTCCAACCGAATGTCGAACGAAGAAGAAAGAATTGAATTTTTTGGTGGTGCATCGATCGTTTTCGATGAGAAGATGACGAGATTTTTTTAATATACTTGATATTTTGTAAACGTGATTTCGTGAAAAAAAAAAAAAAAAGAAAAAATAGCGACGATACCGTGAATCGATGTAGCGCCACTGATAGATGTTGGGTTAGAAAGATTAATCGGTTGATCAACGATGATGGCTTGTATGTATACATTATATATCTCTGTGTCGGTTATTGGGGATTACTAATCCTTGGAGTGTCTCTATCTCTATCTCTCTATCTGTCTCTCTACCTCCCTACTCTCTTTCTCTCCGTCTCTCTATCTCTCTCTTTCTCTCTGTGAATAGATTTAAGGAATTAACAATTGTTGCTATATAAATAGATTTGAATTGTGCACTTAGTCTTATGAATGTGCCCTCGGAAATCAATGTTTATTATAGATCGTATTATTTCTTTAATCCTTTCGCCTTGTTGGTTTATCAGAGATGCATCCGTTTGGAGATTGTGCAGCTTATCATATACGACACTATATATACCGATCGATTATAGAAATATATTTTTTACTAGTTCCTTTACTAGTTTACGCAGTTTTGTATGAATCTTTTAATATTCCCTTTTTAATCACCTTGCATATAAGCGGTATGATATGAAAACGTGACGCTGCCCTCACAAATTGTAAAATTCACGAAATGACCGAGGAACGCTTCCTTTTATTAAAAAAAAAAAAAAAAAAAAAAAAAAAAAAAAAGAAAAAGAAAAAAAGAAAAAAAAATCTACCACAATGCTTATCGAATAGTAAAAATATCGAAATTAAACGATTTTTTATCCGTATTATTTTCGATTTCTTTTTTCAACGAAATATCTATTTATACAAATATATTATATATATATATATATTTATATATATATATATATATGTATGTATAAATATTTTTTTTTTAACGAGTCACCCATAATAAAAAATCACCAAATACTTGATACTTTGGTTCGAATGAAACGTAGCATAAATTGTTACGTCTTTTCAAGATTCTCGCATCCGAGAAATTCACACACGTTTCAACGTACATTTACATTTCCCACATTTCCGGTAATTGCGCAAGCGTTTGGTGATTTGTGAACGGAACAACTGTGTATCCGGATGCGAATACCTCGGAATAAAAGGAACTCGTTTCTGGACGAGTGACGCTAGTTTGTCTGGCTGGCTCGCGAGTTGGAAGAGTCAAATGGTCACCGACGACCCTCGAACGGCTGAAAAGGGTGGCGAAAAGAGCGAAAAGCGGTTCGCGGATTCTTTTGAAAAGCGCGCCGCTTCTGTTTCACGCGTCGCGTGAATGCGGCCGCGAACAAAGCCGCCTCGTCCGCTTTTATTTCCGTAATTAAGGACCACTCTGACGAGCATTGCGACCAGGTCGTCTTATAATTAAGGGAAAAAAAAAAAAAAGAAGAAAAAGAAGAGAGAAAAAAAGAAAAAAGAAAAAAGAAAAAAAAAAGATTTGTGAAAACAATTTTTATCCAATATCCTTCTTCAACGGATATTTTTTTTGTTCGGAAAAAAATAAATAAATAAAATAAATTGAGGACCTTTGAGGTGTTGGAATTTAATATTGTTATCATTATTATTATTATACATATATTATATAGTTTGGTTACGTATAGTTGCATGCGTTCATATTATTGGTTTATTGCACGTTCGTTACGTGACGAGATTGTCGAGTTGGTTTTTCTTTTCTGGACTTGTCTTGTTTTCATAATATTTTCTTTCTTTTTTTTTTCTTTTTTTTTTCCTTGTACGAATTTTTGGTTCGTTCTGTTCAATCAGTTTTTATTTTTTTCGTTTTCGATTCACCGTTTCTTTCAATTTTCCTAATCTTCTCACGATCGAAAAAAGACAAAAGAAAAAAAAAATAAATAGCGATAGAGAGATGGGCGAAATTAAAAGAAAAAACAAAAAAAGATACGCGTACTTTCTTTCCCTCTTTGTCAACAATAATAATTTATAGCCCCGTGTACGAAATAAATTTTTACGAGTATCAATTACAGCGAATATCTTCTAGCGCTTAGAACGAGAAGGACGAGTTGTTCCTTTTCTTGTTCCTCTTGTTGTTGCCGTATCCCTCGTCGCGATCGAAACAAGCGTTATTTCTGGAAATACGCGGATTCGATGACTTGACGCGCGATAAAAAGAACGTGGGAAGGAAGATGGGAACGAGCGAATGAACAGCTCGTAGTTAAACTCAATTTCTCTCTAACAAGGGGGTTATATCGCTTCGGGCATCGGAGGAATTTCAGCGATATTCTTGCTCTCTGTCTCTCTCTCTCTCGACGAGAGAGTGGGATAACAGCCAACGCTTGGAATTTATACACGAATACTATTTGCTCCGTTTTTACCGTTGGGTAAATGGTAATATTTAATTTCACTTCATCCTGCAATTTATCCATCGATTCATTTCGCGCGAATTAGAGTAGAAATTGAAAAAAAAAGAAAAGAAAATCGTATTATTCTTAGTGATCCAACGTATCAATTCAATCGTGAAAGGGTGTTTCCGAACGATGTCGAGAACAGCGTGCGCGAAACAATTAATTGTGATCGTCGAGCAAACAACGCACCACCACTGTCGACAGATTCACCGACAGATTAACTCGGCTGTGATCACATATTACCGCGGCGTCTCGGCGGTATCCGGAATTACGCGACGATCAATACGGTAAAGACGTATTACTATGCGATCTCTCCTCCAAGGATATTACTCGGATCATCGCCGCATATCCGAACGTGTAGCGTTCACGTACACTTTGAACAAAAGGCACGAGTATCAAATGGCGCGTGTTCGAAGAGGGAGGGGATGACAACAGGCTTCCCGATTCTCGGTCGGTAATGTCGATATATCGATGGTGAAAAATATTGCAACGCGATATTAATACGCATTATTCGCGAGCTACATTCGTGCTTTATCTGGAAAAGAAAAAAAGGAATCTACCTCTTCGAATCTCAATCGTCGAAAATTCTCCAGCTTCGAAAATTCACGACTAATTTCACTTCATACATCGCGAAATGGAACGCCAGGATTTTCTTTCGACTCGTAAAAAATAAAAATTACGATCAACATCCATAACCGGGCAATTTCCATTTTAAAAAGAATCTACTCAATTTTCACGGATGATTGGTCCTCGGTATAAATATCGGTTTCTCCTCTCTCTCTCTCTCTCTCTTTCTCCTTCGATGTATCGGCTGTGCACGGAACACGGTGCACGACGGGTGGCCATCTTGGTGGGGGCTCACAATATGGCTCCATTTCCGAGGCTGTCGCTGGAGATCGGGACGATAATTTTCTGGTGGCTCGTTGCCTCGACGTTTTCCGACCGTTTGGCCACGGCCAACGCCAAATGGATGGATCGTCGCCACCGGAAGTCGATTATAACGTAACAATTTTGGGAATCGCGGCGCTGCAATCGCGGGTAACAAATTTTCGGGACGATGAACTTTCTCCGTTAACGGTCGCTGCTCGCTGTTTCCAACTGCTTTTTCGCCGCTCTGTGATCAACGTGCCGTTTCACGCTTCTCGATTCGAAATTGTTGGCCGGGTATAAATAGGTCCACCGATCTTTCGATAAGATCCATATTATGTCGGTTAATTAGTGTCCCTCGCTTTTATAAATCAATGCTCTTTGTTCGCGTAATTTTTCGTTTTTTTTTTTCTTTTTTTTTAAATTTTGATAATTGAACAGCGTGCATCGTGTTGTTTCGTTAGATTTTTCGCCGGCTCGCTTCGTTAAATTCGATTTTTATCTATTCCCGAGCGAAGCCAATTAGCACGTGTTTCTTTCACGAAAACACGCGCAATCACTCGCTCCTCTTTCTCGCGAAGCGTCGAACGAGATCGACTTCCGGCCTTGCCCAACCAACTTTTTCCTAATTGCATCGCGCTTATCGCGATACAGCGAGCCGAGACCCGCCGCCTAGAGCAATTTCCCCGTTAATTGAAATTTTTCCTGGCCCCTGCCCGCCCAATAGGTGGCCTGCAAAAATTGGATAAAGTCCTCTTTTCACCCAACTTTCTCGACGAAACTGCGAAAACTGGAGTAGAAGATTCGTTACAGGATCGTTAATGATGAAAAAGTTTTGAACAAGTTTTTCCTCTTCTTCACGCTCGCGATTTTGTTGTACGAAATTTCTAAAAAAAAGTATCCTATCTATTACTATCACCCGTCGAACAAAGAACGAAGACTCGGTTTCATTTAATATTCTCGAGAATCGAAGGCTCGATAAAATTACTCTCAACGTTGAGAAAAAAAATAAAAAAAAAAACAACTGAAATGGAAGATATTTTGTAGAAATAATAAGCTAAGTAATAAGAGACTTTGAAAAAATTTAAAATCCTGTTTACGTCTTACACACGCGCGCGCGTATTATAAACAACGTTAAGGACGTTTATCTAGAAGGCTCCACTTAATACTACCTAGCATTCCTTGCCTCGAGGAAGGAATCCTCGGTGAAATTATTCGCGCTTCACGAAGGAACTTCTCCCCCTTCCCTTCACCCATCTCCTCCCCCTTCCCCTCTAAGACTAAGATTAATCGTCGGTTAATTAGCACCTCATTGGATGCGAGGGATAATTTTATCAGACAGCGACCTATTGCCAGGGTTAATGCCGCGCTGATATTGGCCGAGGTAGATACGCCGATGACAGCCACAGTCGCTGATATATATATATATATATGTACATATTATATATACATACGCACGCACGTATCCCTGCCATTGTCGCGGAACACCGGCAGACGCGCGTTCCACGTGTGTGTACACACGCGCGCAGCGATGGATCGGTGTGCATCCGTTAACGCACGCCCGCTCGATTGTGGTTGACCGTGGTTGAACTCTCGTCGCCAACTCTCCCCTTCCTCCTTCTCCTCCTACTTCTTCCCCCCCCCCCGTCGCCTCCTCCTGCTCCTCGCAGCGCCGTCTCCTCGATTCTACTTGCTTAGAGATATTGTCTGCGCGACGCGTGTCAGCGTGTCGTTGCCACCCACGCCGTGTGCCCCGATAAAATTATCCTGTTGACGAGTTACCTTAACGAGCGAGACGTGGATCACGGTAATTCGCCGCCGAGATGTTGGGGCTGTTTCAGAGCCAGCCTCTCGCGTTTAAAGCGAGACACGACTGGCTGCGGGCTGGTTTTTGACGTGGCTCGAAGGATAACTCGTCGCTTGGATCGTGCGTTAGTCGAGTTATAGGTTATAGGAAGAACGGTGCATGGATGATGGGATTGATTGGAGTTGGAATTAGAATTATTGAAATTCAAAAGTATTCTTTTTTTCGTATGTATGTATGCGATGAGAGACGATTCGTGTTACGTTGGAATGAGGATGAGTATGGGTTAGTATTTATATTTCTGATATTGGTGTTTGTAACGCGATTCGAGGTTAAGTTTTAAAATGTACGAAACTGGAATGGTTCGACGATTAATAAAAATATTACATTGGGATGAGTTTAGTATTTCTAATGTTGGATTTTAATATGGTTAGAGGATGAGTTTTAAAATATACGATGCTGGAATGGTTCGACGATTAATAAAAATATGTATTTCTAATGTTGGTTTTTAACGTGTTTATAGGTTGGCTCGAGGTTGTTTTAAAGTACGATGCTGAAATAGTTCGACGATTAATAAAAATATTACGTTGGAATGAATTTAATATTTCTAATATTGAATTTTAATGTGCTTAAAGGATGAGTTTTAAAAATTCGACGAAAATTTAA